GTGTAAAAGACAATAGTGTGAGAAGGAAATATGTGGGAAGGGGAAACGGGCGTCTGGTAGGCGTCAAAGAAACAAGTAAGCGCGCTTTTCTCTCTTCGAACCGACCGCTCTTTCTGAAGAGTCCTATAACGAACTTACTAGAATTACCCCCTTAGTTGAGAAGTATGCTCATGTTTACTAATCTCTTCTCCAGAGATCCATCCTCCTTCCGAGAAGGCTATTATCCGCCCAATGTTACGAATTGCCCCACTGTTCCTCTTTTGATTCCACTTCTTATTCCTTATTAGGATTCGTTCCCATGACTCAGTATGCTGTACTTTGACATATATACTCATAGACACCTGTAGATAGATTCCCTAGTCTGACAACTTCGTCTAACATTGCTTGCACCCAGCATGTACTGTGTAGCAAGTGTCTTACTCATTATCCATTGATTCTACTTCGACTCCCTGACCTAGAAGATGGCCTGAGGGGCACCAGACTTAGTCCAGTTCTTGACACTTTGAAAGGGGAATAGGCGCTGAGAAAGGAAAAGATAGGGGGAAAAGCGGCACTTCATGACATCACCCAGAATGGCCCAGGACCCTGTTTTATCATCTTCCCTTCGACCTTTGACCCACTGCATGTTCTGTTGAACCTCTGCACTCGCATTCTTTCACCTTGCATGCCAATGCATGTCTCCTGGACCCAGAACCCATCTACATCGACCTGTATGCTGTAGCATGCCTCCTTGCACCTCGGAATTCGCTCTCCCAGACACCTAGGCCCCAGAACATCATTTACACCTTGCACCTTTTGACTTTGGACCCCTTGCATGTTCCAGTGAACCTCTGCACCCCTTCTACTTCGACTGCCATGCCTATGCATGTGCCCTGGACCCCAGAACTTATTAGACTCGACCTGCATTGCCCAACATGCATCCCTGAACCCCCCAACTCGACTCTTTTCACCCTTTGGCCCCAGGACTTCCTTTACATCATTCACCTTCGACTTCCTTCGCATTTTATGCCTATGCATGACCCAGAAGACCCTTGAACTTGTCCCCTTCGTCCCAGAACCTCCAGAACCTCGTCACCATGGTTATCAGTTGTCCCCAGCACTCCTGGACCTTCCTCTGCACCCTTGCCATCGCTTCCTTTGGCCTTCAGCACTCAGAAGTCCACTAGTCATGGCACCATGGTCCCCCCTGCCTTTGCTGCACCAGAAACTCGACCTCCTTTCCCCAGAAACCCTCTGCTAGTCCCAGGCTGTAAAATGCATATTGCAGGCCTTCCAGAAACTCCAGAACCAGTACTTTGGCAAGAGAACCCAGAACCCCAGAACCCCAGAACCCCAGAACCACTGGCCCAGAGAACCCAGTAGGATCTATGAAAGAGTGGACCACCAAGAATAGTGACCCCCACTTGCGAACCCAGAACCTCCTTGTCTATAGCTATAGGAAGGAGAGAAGAACCCCCAGAACCCCCAGAACCCCAGAACCTTGCCAAGTACATGAACCCTGTTGCACCCTGACCAGACCCAACCCGAGAACAACCCAGAGCACCCTTACATCGACCCAGAACACCTCCTACATTTGCAGTTTTCTATCAGCACCTCCCTGAACATTATTCATCATTCACTACACTCCTTAACGACCTAGAACGACCCAGAAGAACCCAGAAGAGTCCCTCATCATCTATGGACCCCAACATCGTACACAGCACCTCAGAACATTGAGTCCCTTCCCCAGAACACCCCAGATCAGTTCTACTTCGACTTGGATGCCTCCAACAAGTCTAGAGTGCTCCAGGTGAAAGCACTACCTAGAA